ATATACAGGCTGGTGTTTCCCTTGGTGGAGCTGGCTTATGCGAAAAAAAAAAAATCATCTGTTTTTTGTTTAAATCGAGATTGTATCTTATTTATAGCTGTTGAACTCGTTCCTTCGGCTGACGTTTAATTCACTATGTTTTGTTTAATTGAGCAGAATGTTTAAATATTTCAGCAAAAAAAATGTATCTTATATATATTAATGATTAAAATAGAACAAACTAAAGTTAAAAATGTTGATCTACGAATCAGGTGAGATAGCAAAATATATAGGCTTTTGTTGTTGAATCTATTTTATCTTTAGAAGATTGAAATTAGTATATCTTGTGAGTTGATTTTTCTTTTCCTTACATCCGAATAACAGCTTTGTTGTTGATGCATAATAGGACTTAATAATTTATAAGTTTATAATAATTTTCAATTTATATTTTATAATGAAATACAAGATTTTATTTTGAATTATGTTTATTTTAATTTTTTTTTAATTTTATTCATTTATATGAAAAATTTTGCCCCCCCTAAAATATAAGGCTGGTTCCGCCCTTGAATGATGTGCATCGAGATTGGAATAGGAATTGTAATTATTAGCTGTTCATTGGCTCTGTGCATACACAATCCTATTTCATATGATCCACATAATGAGTAACTAACACAAGTTTTATTAGTTATATTAAGGTTTTGTTTGGGACATTTTTCTTACCGCTTTATAAAATAACTTTTCAATACAAAAATTAAATTTTTTATTCTACAAAACTGCTTTAAGAAGTAGTAAAAAAGCTGTCTCAAACGAATCATAAATTAGTAACTAATCCAGCTTATTGATTTTTTGTTTCTTATAATAGGAATGACGTGTTGCTGAGTGGGGTCAACCATTTTTTAATGGCTTGGCTAATTCTTGGTTACGTGTTATGTGGCTCGTTTAGCTTAACTAATTACAATTATTTGTAATATTTAATTATGTCCACGGTGAAATAAAAATAATTAAATAAAATAAAAAATGTCCACGGTGAAATTAAAAATTAAAAATAAAATCAGACTTAAAAGGATCTCTTCACTGTCATGCAAAAAGTCAATCATTCATAATTTGATCTTTTTTTTTAACGAGGTTTTGTTTGGCACCGCTTTCTTACTGTTTTTTAAAATAATTTTTTAGTTCAAAATTTTATTGAATTAAAAATATTTGTACTAAAAAAATACAAAAAAGCTATCCCAAACTAAGCTTTTAATCTCCCAGCATTCAATATATAATGCATTATTGTTGCGGGCTAGAAATTACACGGCGATAGAAACTTGATTCTACGTCTTAGCGTTGTACGTATAACTAGCACACACACAGAGAACACAAGATTTTTTATGTGGAAAACCCTAAAAAGGGAAAAACCACGAGGCCTAGCCCAGTTGAAAATGATTCCACTAGACTTTGAGTTGTTACAAAGGACTGAATCACCTCCAGGGGTGATCAAATTTCCAAGGGCAACTTTTCTGAATACCTAACCATGATTTTATATTAATTAAATTAAATTTCAGAAAGACATTCTTAATTAAGTCATAATTATATTTCTGATTGCATGTGCTTGCGAGTCTTGTGTGGTATATAAATAAGAAGATTGAATTCTAAGTAAGATTATTAGTGTTGAGTCCTGGAAAATTTGTGGCAGTGAGGAAATATAAGAATTTACGTCTTAGTTTTATACGAAGATTAAACATACAAGCAGATAAAAGAGAGAATGTGTAGCGTTCATAAGAGACGCCAGAGTTTTTATGTGAAAAACTCCTGAAAAGGAGGAAAAATCACAGGATTGGCCCAATTTGAATAATCCAGTATTATTTGCAGTCGATTACAAAAGAGGCCCTTCCTGGGGGGAAGGCCCCTCCTAGGGGGGAAGGACTTAGGCTGATGTAGCAAATGTACTTCATATTATATGGTGGGAAACCTCTAAAAGAGAGAGGGTGTAGCGTTCTTAAGAGACACCAAAGTTTTTATGTGAAAACCCCTGAAAAGGGGGAAAAACCACGGGATTTGGCCTAGTTTGAATGAATATACTATTATTTGTAGTCGATTACAAATGAGGCCCTGACTGGGGGGAGGACTTAGACTGATGTAGCAAATGTACTTCATATTACATGGTGGGAATTGGAAGAATTAGTATTGAAATGTTCGTTTAGTCGGTAGAATCATAGTTGGTGGGCGACAGAGGGTGGAAAGACCGTAGTATGATGACGGTGGTCGGAAGGACCATTGTCGGCATGAGACAAGGGTCAGAAAGAATATTGTCTGGCGATATAGGTCGGAAGGACCGTAGTAGGCGACAAAGAACGGAAGGATCATAGTTGGTAGGAGACAGGGGTCAGAAAGACCATTGTCTGGCGATGGAGGTCAGAAAGACCGTAGTAGACGATTGAGGTCGGAAGGATCATAGTCGGCAAGAGACAGGGGTCAGAAAGATTGTTGTCTGGCGATGGAGGTCGGAAGGACCGTAGTAGGCGACAGAGGTCAGAAGGATCATACTCGATAGGAGACAGGGGTTAGAAAGACCGTTGACTGGTGATGGAGGTCGAAAGGATCGTAGTAGGCGATGGGGGTTGGAAGGGCCATAATTGGTAGGATATAGGGGTCAGAAAAATCGTTGTATGGAGAAAGAGGTTGGAAGGACCGTAGTAGGCGATGGAGGTCGGAATGACTGTAGTCGGCAAGTGACATAGGTCAGAAAGACAATTGTCTGGAGAAGGATGTTGGAAGGACCGTAGTCAGCAGGAGACAGGGGTCATAAAGATTGTTGTAGGTCGGAAGGACCATATGGACAATGGTAAGAAAGACCATTATCTGGCGACGGAGGTCAGAAGGATCGCAGTTGGCAGGAGACAGGAGTCAAAAAGATAGTTGTCTTGCAACGGATGTCGGAAGGACCGTAGTCGGCGGGAGACAGGGGTCAGAAAGTCCATTGTCTTATGATGGAGGTCGAAAGGACCGTAGTGGGCGATAGAGGTCGGAAGGACCGTAGTTGGCAGGAGACAAGGGTCAGAAAGACCGTTACCGTAAGGCGATGGTCCGACAGAAGTTCAGGCATTGTTTGGTGAACTGATGGAACTTCGACTTCTCTCGGTGGTTCGAGCCCCCGAGTTGGACCCATTTCGGCTTGGGTTGGACCGATTTTGGTGTCGTTAGGTTCCGTCTCTTTGAGATGTTTAGTTTGACTATAAATTTGCTTAAATTGGAATTCATATGATCTCAAATTTAATTTTGAAAGTTTCCAACTTGAATATGCCTCAAGATTTGTGCTCGATCAAAGCAATTTTCGATGATGTATCAAATACTTATTAAGCAATAATATTTTATAAAATTGATTATAAAGTTATTTTATAAAAAATTATTCAATTATTCTAGTTATAAAAGCACCTTTCTACAGCAAGAATTTTTTTTTAAAATAATAGCTAAATAAAATTATAATTGTCTGAAAAACAAAACATCTAGAAAGCTATCCTAAATAGATCCTAATTTTTTTAATATAAAATTATAAAATTGAATGAAGATAAATAATTTGATATTTTTATTTTAATATTTTTTATCATTTAATAGATAATTAACCTACTTTTATTAGTTTTAAATAGTTCTTAGTCATATCAGAGCTCTCTATATCAATATCACTCTCTATATCAGAGCAAATTATTATGTGCGGTCACCGGACGCTGTCCGGAGGCGAATAATGATGTGTCAAGTCACTTCTTAACTGAGTATCAGTTGATGCGGCACATCCTGATTCGCCTCTTAACCGTCCGATGACCACACAAAATAATTTCTCCAATATCAGCGTCACTTTCTATGAAATGGAAGTTTTTCAGCATGAGCGACACCAAAGGTTTACTCAATCAAATAATTGCCTACATAGGAAAGTCTTTTATTTTTAAACTCAATAGACTTTTTTTCATTTATCTTGTAAGGAATTAGAGAGAAACTAAATTGAAATGGAACCAATAAAGAGCCTCTCAATTGTCACGTCAATTTAGAGCCAACTTAATAAACTTGTTAAAAGAACATGATTCACAGTTATTAAAAAATATCTTAATTGTCAAGTCGAAATAATTCGACTCTTGATTGAATCAAACTTCAATTCAACTTAAAGTCGGCCCCCCACCCACCGCTGTTTGTCCGGGTGGTGAAGAGCCGGCTGGTCAAAGCCCAAATCCCTTGTTCGAATCCCTTGGCAAGCATTGAAAGCCTTAAGTGTTGGTCCGTGTAAATTGGTGTGGGTTGCATGCTAGGTCGACCGGAATTTTCACTGGCCTAAGAATAGTGCTTCCTCATCACAAAAAAAAAAAAAAAAAGCAGCCCCCTACTTCAGGTTCTACATTCGAATTTTCTGTTAAAAATTAACGGGAGGACCAAAAAGATCAAGTTGGTCCCTTAAAAGAATTGGGGTCCTTGGGGATCATTTTAATCCCTCACATAGTTGAAAGACCATTTTGATCATTTTCTTCAAAAATGTATGATTAACAGATATAGATGCAATTTACGAAGAATGAAATTCATCAGAAAAGCATGAAACATAACGCAAAACGAAAAACTCTTAGCTCTCTAAGAGCTTGACAAGAATGAAATTGAATCACTTGCGTTTCTTTTGCTCACGTTTCACCTTATTTGTTCCATAATTTATTGTAATGAAAAAAACATGGATTGAAATACCTGGATTGTTTCTACATTTCACATGATCAATGACTCGATGAAGAGCAGCTTTGTGACTTCTCACATTCTTCTGGATCTTCATGGCTTCCTCTCCTTCAAGTCTGAATAGACTGTCTATAACTAGGCTTCCTCTTAATTTAGAAGGTTATTAGCTGAAGAGCAAATAATTGATTTGAATGCCCCAAGAAATAGAAGCGCAATGACACTCATACAGGAACATTTACATCAACTCGCACTGCATCTTTTGTGTCATTTTAATGATGCAGTTCATGCAATGGCATCAGCTCTTTTTCACTCAACTCTCCTCAAAGAAAGACTCATCAACCTGTTTGATCAATCCTGACAAGCTTCTCTGCTGCAATTTCGGCAACCTTCAGATCACCATCACTGGTTCCACACCAGCTGAGCAAAGCAATCCATATACTACCATCAGGTTCGAATGGCATTGTCCTTATGACCTCCAGTGCTCTCTCCACCTTCCCTTTGCGGCCAAGCAAATCCACAATGCAAGCATAATGTGCAAGGGAAGGAGTGACACCAAACTTCTCCTCCATTGAATTGAACCACTTCCACCCCTCATCGAGAAAACCGCAGCGGCTACAAGCTGATAAAAGAGAAACGAACACGATCTCGTTCGGCATCAATCCCTGATCTAACATGGCGGAAAAGGAACGAATGGCCTTTTCTCCATGTCCATTGATGCCATAACCATGTATCATGGAACTCCAACAAACAAGATCTTTTTCCTGAAGACTATTGAACAAGATCTCTGCTTTTCCTAGAATCCCAAGCTTACAGTAGAAATTAATCAAGGATGAAATCACAAACGCATTACAATTATATCCCAATTTGATCAAATGGCCATGTGTGCATCTTCCTAGTTCCAATGCTCTCAGCAAAGAGCAAGCTTGAAGCAAACTAACCAATGTAATTTCATTAACTTCAACATTTTCAATTACCATATCATTAAATATTTTCAGAGCTCGAACTGCTTGTTTGGTATGAGAACATACCGACATCATCATGCTCCATGTTATGTGATCTTTGTGCTGAAGATCACTGAACAGCAATTGTGCCATTTCAATCTCTTTGAAATCTGCATACATCTTAAGAATTGCTGCCCCAATAGAAGCTAAAGTCAAAAGCCCATTCTTTATGCAACAACAGTGCAATTCTATTCCAAACTTAAAGCAATTAAGTTGAGGGCATATCGCTATTAAGTTGCGGACGATAATCTCTCCAGGTTCGACCTGAGAAGTTCTCATTCTAGAAAAGTAACCAATTGCCTTCCTAAGCACTCCATTTTGTATGCATCCTATGATCAGATTCTTCCATGAGATATCATCCTTCGTCTCCATGGCATCAAAAACTAAACTTGCAGCATTCATGTTGCAACATTTCGCATACATGTCAATAAGGGAGTTTTGTAGTTTTCCTTCCATATGCCATTCCCTCCTTATAGTACTTCCATGAATCTGCTTTCCATATTGCAAAGATCCAGTATTTGCGCAAGCAGGCAGAACACTTAAGAAGCTCACAAGATTAGGACTGTCAAAGTAAGATTGCATTGAGCGAAACATGTTTATAGCTTCCATGAACTCTCCACACTTGGACAGGCCGGTTATCATAGCAGTACATGAGATGAAATCTTTTGTAGGTATCAAATAAAATAGAGACCTTGCACTTTCTAAGTCATTCAGATGAAGATAGAAGCTGATGATGGAAGTGGCTACAGAAGCTTCCACGTTCAGAGCAGATTTGATTGCAATGCAATGAATCCCATATTTTGTATCATCTGAAGCTTCGCCATTAATGGCACGGATAATTTGAGAAATTTTGCTTGAATAGATGGAATCCATTCTGCTTGTGGTTGAGGAGAAAAACAAGCGAGTTGCTGGAAAAGAAGCCACTTTGAGTAATTTTGTCGAACAGTTGGAACGCAACTTAAAAAATATCGCTTTTCTGAGTAGAAAAACCATCTCGGAAGACAGCAGAATCAAGAACTGGGTTACGCTGATTGAGGAAGCTAATAACTGATAATGGAGAAAATAAGATGAAATCAGACCAGTATTATCCATTAAGGTTACCCAAAAATCCCCGCTTCGTCCCTGGAGTCGGAACGGAGGAAGGGCATCGAACCCTAAAGCGCGAATAGATGGCGATTGCAATAACAGGGGTTCATGTCGACGATTATTTGGAGTGTAAGGAGTGCTTCTTAGCTGTTCTTTTTAAATTTCCCATTTTTAGCTTTTGGCCATTCTTGAATTCATTTTTCTTTTCTCGGCGTTGAAGATTCTAGCACGCTGTCGGTGGAAGTTCAGAGGCTTTTTCCACCATAAGAGAACTCAACGAAAGAGATCGAGGTGCAGAACATTGATTTCACGCTATGTTTGATCAATTAGTAGGCGATTTATCAGTCATTCCTGATCTGACTTCTCTTTCATATTTATTTAATGTTTTTCTCCCTATCAAAAGAAAAAATTGCATTGCTCTGTGATGTGAATTAGACAGTTAATGAAGATGAAATTATTTTGTATCAGGTGAGGTGGCGCCCTCTAATTCAGCTTCAGATTGTTTGGTGTTCATACATAATAATTTTTTTTTAATGAAGATGGGTTAAATTTTTGTACTTTGCTGAAGTCATTTCAATTGTATATAAGTGTTGCATTAGATTTCTATTGGAGATGACAATATTTTGGCATTTTGTCATTTTACTGTTAATTTTAAAAATTATAGTGTTTAATAATGTCATATTCTATATGAAAAAATTCTTATTTCCTTATTTTGTGAAGGGACTTATCATAAAAGAATCAATTTAGGGAAGGTTTTGATGCAGCGCCGCAGCGCTACATATTCGAGCACCACAGTACTTAAGCTTAAATCTGAAGGCATAATAGAGAGCTAACCGCTATAGCGTCGTTTTCAGCATTGCGGTGCTACTTGTTAAAAGCTACATCGCCTCGAGAGGATAACCCAAAAAGAGTTTTTCAGAGCCAAATCTGCTGAATGTCGCGGCGATAATAGTTAAGTAAGTTATAGTATGAATCAACATGTTGATTAAGTATGAACATCGCAACGGAGCGTGACACAACACTAGTTCATTGAAGAGTGCCGCAACGCTACATCATTCTACGCCGCGATGCTATAATCAGTTATGAGGCCTATTTTATGCTAAAGTATGAATAGATGGTTGTATTGTTAATGGAAGACCTTTTCCATTATTTTATTTTTGTTCTATAGTTTCAAGTGAATGAAGAGAGTTGAAGAGGAGAAATTATTCCGTGCAAAGTGCAGATGGGAAGAACCATCCGAACATGTGAGTATACATACTGCGTACAAATTTATAAACAGTGTATCAATTTTTTGTACACACTATGTGTACACTCATAGTTCGGGACGGATGATTCTTCCCGTCCGGATTCCGCAATGATTTCTTATTGAAGAGAGGGAGTTTGGTAGAGGAGTAGGATCAACTTATAAAGTGGAGTGCAACTTGCATTCCATATAAGGAGACTCTTGATTCTCACTTTCTCATCCCATCTTCTTGAACTCTGTGTTTTGATCATTAATGAAATTCATGTTTTTAAATTTTATTGTAATGACGATTAGTGGCTAAATCTATGATCTCGATAGAGCTATAATGGCGCAAATAGTCTAAACAGAATTCTTAGAAGAGCTACTAAGTGGCAAATGGGGATATGGGTGGTGTTGTGTCGATCTCGTTGATGTGACTTTGATGAAGGGCTTTATGAAATCTGCAGTGGGAATATTTGGAAGGCTTTGTTTGACAAAGATGGCTGTTAGATCCAAGTCGGATGGGACAATCGACGATAGATCTTGCTGAATTTTGATGGACTTGACGTTGTTGGAAGCTCAATCGTGTATATCTGCATCTGACTTATCGCAAATGACAATGATTGTGGATTTGTGCATTGATGGTGGATGATGCGGAAAAAATTTTAGAACAGGATCTTTGGAGATCGAAGATCGTGGCACCTGGATATTTGGTTGTATTGGAGATCAAGATTGGCTGGGAGATTTCGCATTGAGCTTGGCGATGGTAGATTGGGACTTAGCAGTTGATTTTGATTTTATCTGATGTGGAATCATGTGAAGGTCAGAGGAGATGGGATTGGGCATAGATCAATTGAAGTTGTACCAATATGTGAAGTTGAGTAATGGATCGACGATATTTAGAGAGATGGACTGCCATTGACGATCTGGAAAGGGGATTTGGGAGGTCACCAACAGCTAGAAACGGGAGACACAGCTGCTGGTTGTTTGATCAGGCCGAGATATCGGCAATTTTTTCGGATTAAACGGACGGTGAAGAATTTGGTGATTGGTCTAGGGATGAAGTTGGAGACAAGTTGTTGGATCTACCGACATCGACAATGCTGGTTCTTGAAGATGTTGGATCATTTAGCAGTTGATCGCGAATCTTAGTAAGAACACCAATTGATACGAATCTATTGGATCGAAGGGGATGAACAGCACTTGTAGTTCATCAACCATTCCAAGAAAACACTGAATTGAGAGAAGGGGAGGAGGAAGAAGAATTTCAGAGCAAGGTGATTTTGTTCATTCATTTTTGTTGCATACCTAATAGCGCTCAAGGGAGATTATTTACAGAAAATACTAGACTATTAAACTATTATTTAGCTCCTCATATAGATTAAGGGTGCGTTTGGGACGGATTTTTCCCTGCTGTGCGTTTGGGAACGTAACCACAATATGGTTTGGGTTTACGGCATCGTGCTCCCTTGGGAAAATTTTCACATCCTGCGGTTGCTTTTCCGGTCCGAAGTAATCCCACCGCGTTCGCCTGCATTCCGCGGTTCCAAGGTATGAGAAATACGTGAATGACCTTACAGTTACCTAAAAACTACCTTGTTTTCTTCTTCATCCTCTCCAAGTTCCTCTATTCGGACATTTATCCGCTTCTTCTCACACATCTCAGCATAGTCGCGACCTCATTTGTACGCTATTTTTTTTTTTATTCCTCCGAAGGCACAACTGCAAGAAGCACAACTCAACATCTCACATCTCAGGTAGCTAGCAAGGAGGTCTTTCCTTTATATGCGTCCACGTTCTCTACCCTACCTCATTTTTTTTTCTTCTCATCACAATTTTTCCTTCTGCCACGGCTTTCTCCTGCATTTGAAGAGCTGTTTTCTTGCCCTGTGATTTTCCCAACATTTCAATTCGGTTAGCTCTCTTCTGCTCGCATCCTTCTCAGATTATTCAGTCAAAACTCTGTCCACTGTTGATTATCGGTAAGTTAAAACAAAATTGAATTTAATTTCATTAAAAGAAACATCTTCAAAATCCCTTTGCTTTTCCATATGACTTTCACTTTGTCTTTTATATGCAACTTTCCTCCTTTATTTCTCCTCTTGAAAAGCTTTAGTTTTACTAGACATTTTTTTCTTTATTGTAATTTCTTAGCAGAATATTGATTCAGATTAGTGTTGATTCAGATTAGTTTGTTTATCCCGGCTAAAATGATTATATAAAGATTGTTGATGGAAGTACTTATAAAGCTATAGTTGGAGAATCGATGCTGTAAGTTAATGATTTTAATAGTAATTTAGAGAAATATAAATAGTTTATTCATGATATGTAATTAAATTATTATTAAATTTTAATTAAATTTCAAAAATATATCAGTTATATTATTATTAGAAAAATTATGTTTAGTATAAAGTAATAGGAGTTAATATTTTTTTTTCAGATTATTTAAAAATATGATATTACATTATAAAAAAAAATTATATTATGATATTTAAAAGCTATAAAATATTTCATAAAAGATGATACAATTTTTAATTTATAATTGTTAGTTTGTTAGAATCTAATTTTATTTAAAAAAGTTGACATGTACATAATTTATTTTCATCTTAATATATAAGGGTATAAAAGTAATTTATTTTCATACAGCTGCAGCAAAGCAATTTGACAATTATACTTCTCAAATAAAATATACTGCTTTCTATACAGCAATTTCAAAACGCAGCTTTTTGTATATTAATTTTACAACCTACTTTATCGACAGCTGCAGTCGTCCCAAATACACCCTGAGGCTTCGTTTGGGACAGCTTTCTTTTTGCTTCTTAAAACAGCTTTCTAGTATAAAAATTTTCATTTTTGTACTACGAAGTTGCTTTAAGAAGCAACAATAAACCCGTCCCAAATGAAGCCTAACTTTATTCTGTATGCTCCTCATTTTGTTGTACATGCCTTCTAAAATGAGGCAATTCAGCTGATAACCACCAAACTTTGAGACTTGCAAGATTCAAAAGAAAAATTTAATGAACTCAGAATGAATATGAAATTAAATATTTGGGTTATATAAATACTGGCCTCCCTTCCATATTCCTCCAGGACCAAGTACTATTGGTTTTAACAATGCACATGATCCTACACAGAAAAATGCATATTTTCCATACCAATTATGATCAGATCCAGGGCTGAACATGTAAAATTCTTCAAATCAACTCTTCTGAATGACCGCTGAGTTTCTTCTTCCCTGTTGCAGCACCAAGAACAAAAAAAAGTAGGATCAGTTCTAGTTTAATTATGATAAAGGCTTGCTTGTTGCAACAAGAGTCTTAAGGAAGTTGTTGGGCTGAGTTTTAGGTTCACACACGTAAGCTTCAAACATAAGATCTCTTAGTTGCTAGCCAACATATCAACGTGAGCTGCGTCTTTTTGCCATATTACTGAACAATGCTTCTCTTACCTACAGAGTCCAACACTTTTCTGGTGTGAAATGTAATGCTGGAAATATGTTGGCTTGGCTGCATGTAATGAGCATTTCTTTTCTTTTACTTTTTGCTATCTTTCAAGTTCTCATAATTGAAACTTGCTCATCAATTTTATGAATGTGAGTTCTAAAATCTAGAACTCACTTTCATCCAATTTTTAACGACTTCAAAATTTTTAAATGAAGTAGTCAACTGAAGAACACAAGTGAGATCATCACTCTGTCAATCACAGTAAACTCAGCAGGTGTGGAGGTATAAATCCTGCTTAATATCTCGTTCATTTGAAAATAATCGTTGCATCTTCTTTCTCTTCCTCTTCTTCTTTTTCCCCATCTTGATGTTTTGTTGTGCCCCAACCAGAGAACAAACCATCAAATCCTTTCTGCGCCAGAGATCTGAAGAATGTTGAAGCGCTTTGGACCTTCGTTAAGTTTGTAGGTGGAATTATACTGAACTCTGATGATTTTGCTTTCTTGGAGAAGTAGTTCGATCCTTGGAGGCCGAGGCATAGGTTGTATCAGGTGTGCTTACTGTTAAATGGCTCATTATACTTCCCTGTAACTGGATGAATGATGGTGTTGAATTCTTGACCAATAGTTCTGAAGATAACTGGTCGTCCCGGAGAGTCACCAAACACTTTTCTTCCATGTTGCCATTCGGGGAAGTAGATACAACAGGGCAAATTATTTTGTGCGATTTACGCACGCAAGCTTATATTCGGATTTGCTGTGCTTTTACTGTGTTTTTGCTGTATTTTTATGAAAGACAGCTAATAGATAATTTTAATTGCGTATTAGCTATCCTTTTGCGGAGTATTTATAAAATGACGGTAAATACTCAATTAGTAATATATTTATTGCACTTTTACTATGCTTTTACTGAAGAAATTAGGAATAATTTTACAATACAAAAAAAAAATTTAAATTGATATTTTTTTCTAGAAAACTGTTTAAACTTTTTATTTTATTTTATTTTGGAAATCGGGTTAGACAATAAACCGGTAGACGTGATTCAAGGTTCGATCGGTTTGAACAGTCGAACCGGATGACGTAATAAATAAAATTTAGATGACATAAAAATCATATAATAATATAAATTTTTTATTAAAAAATAAATTGAATTAACACATCACTATACTAATATCTGATGTAATTTTAAATTTAAACATATTCAATCTTTAAATTTAATTCAAATTTAACCAAAATTTAACTTACATATCAATTAATAAGTTTAATATAAATTATTATTAATTTATGTTATATATCTATATATAATTTATAAAGAATTTTTTAATTTAAACATAAGCATTTCATATTTAAAATTAAATTATAAATATTTATAATATTTTAAAATAATTTATTTAAATATTCAAAAAATGCAAAAATTAAATCGGGCCGATTCAAGAGAACCGTGACCGGTTCAACCAACTGGCGATTTTCTCCGGTTCTAGATGATTTGATGCAGAAGTGGTTCTTAGGATGAACCGGACCAACCATAAGACCGGTTCACAGTTGAGCTGGTCAGACCGGCCAGTTCAATTCAGGTTTTAAAACATTGGTAACAAATATTAGCGTGCACATATGATCACTATTCTGTTTAAACTACGGTGGCGCAGGAGATGTTAAGATATAAAATATTCAATGTGCAAGGAAAATTATTGCTTGATTTCTAATATCATGTGAATATGGTCCTACCTTCTCTAACTGTATATTTATGAAGTCAAAATCAGGAAGACTAAAATACCATTTGTACTTTGTGTGCTACCTTCTCTACAGGAATACATACCTGATCGATAGTCTGATATTTCGAAGGAGAAGTATTGTAGATGCGCTTCATTCTCTCACTCGGTGGAGCAGCGTACACCCTACTAAGCTTTTGTTTCAGGATTGTATATAGATTATCCTCTACCTTCCAAGCTTCTGGCTCATAGATTTCAGTACTTACGTTCCATCTCATCGTATGGAGATAAAAGACCAAAACTTGAATCAAGTGGTGGATGTGAACGATAGGAGCAGCCTCTGAGTCCCTGGATTGCAGAACCTTCTTGGCTTTTAAATCTGATGTGTCCGAGCATCCACTTGTAAGCTTTACAGTGGCCATGCTTAGCGGATAGAGGGAGACAACATATGATATGTCGAGAGACCCGTCGACATTTGCGCAGCTTAATTCTACCTGCAAAGAGGGCATAGAAGTGATTCGTGTTCATCTTTCCTCAAAAGGGATATATATATATATATTTGCATGAATAAGAAGCATTTGAATATCAGCTGAGCATACAGCGTTGGTAAATACCTCTCCACACATTTTCACCAAAATTACCGATTGTGGAAAACCAGCCAGAGCATTGTTGAAAATAATAATAATGCGATTAGATGGACGCTTCTCTTTAAATCACTATAAGAGCTGCATCTAATATCACACCCTAAGACATGAAGTAGAAGAATTCATGTTATTTTCTTTTGATTATCATTTCAACTCATTCAAGTAATTGTATCAATATTCTTATCATGTGTCAGTATTATCTACTATATATAAGTATTCTTATCATTTATTAGAAAGTCAAATGAGAATATCTTGATCTTGCTCCTGCACTTATGACTCTCGATCAGTTTCTCTTATAATCTCCTCGGCCTCATCAAACGGAGGTCCACTAGTATATTAGGCTTGAGACCCTTCATAAAATTTTCCGCTATACTCCAATAACAACTTGAATCTCTCCCTATACTCCATGACAGATCCGTTAAGGAAAGGAATTGCTCGTGTAAGTCTTCTTCCCGAATGGCTTAGAAATATTCCAACAAGGAATCTTTAAACTCCTCCCACAAACGAATCGGATATCTCGCCTGCCTCCATTGGAACCAAGCGAGGGATTTTACCTCCATTCAGTATAACCATCCATGGGCATCCTCCTCTCTTAACCCGTTCACCGCAAAATATCTCTCCACTCATTATAACCATCCATGGGCATCCTCCCTTCAAACATCAGCATCTTCAACTTTCTCACCTTCACTTATCCACCCCAACTGCCTCTCTCACCAATGGTTCCCCTCGTGTATCGAGGGTGGAAATCCTACCTTTCTTCCATCAGCCTCCCATTCCTGATCCCCATGGGTTGGTTCGTCCACCTCCTTCTCCGGTTGTCCACACCCCTCGCCCACACGACCTCCCATAATGGTCAGTCACCCTCTCCACCATAAAACCCTCCGTAAAACTCCCTTCCCACTATCCCCCCATCCGACAACCCTATTCCACCCCTTATCGAAGCCCTAGATAGGAGATGACTTTTGATGAAATGAACTCTCTTCGTTGAACTATTCCTATCTGATCTCTTTCCCTCTAGGTTTGGCCAAGGGAATCCTGACCGAATCATTGTGAGGGTTAGCCAAGGAACCGTCGGTGGATTTTTAGATTGCATCTCAATGAGTTTCTTCATCATCTCCTCCAACCCTCCAAATCGTCTCTCCATCTGATTCTCCATGGTTATAAATCTTCCTTCGATGGTTGAGAATTTTTTTTCCACCCCAATTTGAATTGCTCCACTTCGCCTTCCTATGCATCCACCTTCTTTGCTACCATTGTCTCAAAAAAATCACGCTCTGATATCAATTTGATATAAAGTGGATGCCGAAATGGGTAGAAACCTTGGCTGAAATTCAATTTTAGCAAAACCAAAAGATAAACACAAGAAAACTATGAACACACTAGAACATTTTTTTATTGGTATATTTATGAAGAAAAACATACAATACAATTTGATCTTCAATTGGAGAGGAAGATTTAGCTCTCCCAAATCCCTAGCCGCCGGGTAGATCCCTCACAACCTAAGTAACCTTAATTTCAGCAAACAAAAGCATAAAATTAAAATCACCCCATAGTTAGCCCTAAATAGGCTTCCCTAATTCCCTCCCAAATCAGCCTACTTTCCTTACAAGATTCCCTTTCTAATTTGAATTCAATTTGGATCTCTTTTCCTAATTAATATCCCCCCAATTTTCATTAAAATTCTCTTAAATATGTCTCCATCTATTTATCCACCTTTCATATTGAATTAAAGCTTTATTGGGCCCCACAAGTGGTCCCCCCCCCCTCCTCCTTTCAACTGGGTTCGGTTCTGCTGAATTGGTGAAAAGGCTCCCGCCCTTCGTGGCCGGTGCGTAACAAAGTACACTCTGATGTTTCTATGAAAAATATGAAATAGAAGTGCATATACTATTTTGTTCGGGAACTAGTTACCTCTAACTTTCATGTGAAAAGACAAGAAAATTGTATGTCTGAGCTAATTAAACTGTAACATGTCTTTGAGAAAATAATAGTTATTTTGTGTTTTCTTAAATTTGACATTTAAAGCTTTTATTTATAAATTTCAAGATATGGATATTGAACTCTATAATAGGATTTGGGAATGAATACTAAGTTAAAATACTCATTATATTGATGTTTAACATTTTAGAAAAATGAAAGGGCCCGGCAGAGTAAAATTATAGGAAGCAAATCAGATAGAGTTTTCAGTTAAGGCATTTTGTAACCCAATTTCCATATTTTGATGTATAAAATCAACTTATATTGAATTATTTGTGCATGAAGTAAATTGCAAATCAGAATTTAGATGGCTATTATTTCTATTTATTATTTTGAATTTCTTAATAGGCTCTAGTTTATTATATTATGGCTGAGAAATCTATTTTAGGAATTCAGTTCTTCCATTAGATTTGACAATTCCTTGAAAGAATATGAATATATACTCAATCATCACCATAGTCAAGAAAATACAATATAATTCCCAGCACAAGTTTGTTAGCAAATCTCTCAAAAAGCCAAGGGCCATTTGGTTGCTCAAATATATAAACCATATTTTAGAAATTTATAATATCATCTTGAAGCATTTTTGAGTAAAAATGAAATCAACACATTTAAGAGATTTCAAAGGTATTTGTATAGTTGAAAATCAATATTAATTTCTAATTACATCCAACTAAATGATGAAATCTAATTAATTCAGCATTTATAACAAATATGAATTCTAATTTCAAGCAACCAAATGGAACCTAAGCTAACGACCTCGAAGACTAATAGACACTCTGATGCGGCACCAGTTATCCTATCAGCTATAGGAGGCTCATTTTACCACTGTTTGATGCCTCCACTACTTTAGTTTCCTTTTTCGTTTATGGTATACTTTTCCTTGTTTCTCTTCTGCTACCTTACTTTTAGCAAAAAGGTTAGTTTTAGCTTCTAGAAGGAAATGATATATAGGAAATATTGTAGAGGATGCGGCAGTTTTGGCATTTTCACAACCTTGACAAAGTTCAAGCTGAATATACAGGCCGTTGAAGCCTTCTTCTTCCTCTATCCCTTGTCTCGTCTTGGTTTTTGTTTGCTGTTATCTCTTTTGCAGGTCCTGGAGTACATCAGGTTGGTATCAGAGCCAATACAGCAGCATGACCGACAAGGGAAAAGAGCCAGTTCCCGATGAGGGGCGAAGTGTGGAAGCACTGTGGGCAAACCAGGCTAGTATCGCGCGGCAGCTGGAGTCACTGTCCGCCGATGTCCAACGCCTTACGATTGAAATGCGCTGCGAGTTTAATCTCCGTCGAGAAAGGAATGCACCCCATCAACCGCGTCCAAATCCGGCACAGGCGGTGGCTCATGTGGTTCGGCGTGGTATGGGCCTTGATCGACTGGCGCCACGATTCAGACAGCAAAACATAGAAGCTTCCGATTCGGAAGAGGAGGTTCGGAGACAACCTGAAGAGGACGTGAGTGAGTTTGAAGATATGACAGATGGGGGCGAATATTTCTGAGACAATTATAGGCGCGGGAGGCGACCCCATCCTCAAAGAACTCAGGCCGAGTTCAAGGTCAAGGTAGATATACCTTTCTTTGATGGGCATGTGCATATTGAGGATTATTTAGATTGGGAGAAGGCTGTTGAAAATTTTTTTGAATACATGGAGGTTGATCCGTCCAAACAAGTGAAATATGTTGCTTGTCGTCTCCGGAGCAGGGCGAGTGCATGGTGGACGCAAGTTCTGCAAATGAGGCAACGTGAGGGCAGGGGTCAGTTCGCAGTTGGGCGAGGATGAATTAGCTCCTACGGTCTCAATTCCTCCCTATGGATTACGAGCAAATCCTCTATATGCAATATCAGCAATGCGTGCAGGGCAACCGCTCAGTCAGCGACTACACCGAGGAGTTCCATAGACTCAGCGCACGCAATAATTTGAACGAATCCATGAACCAACTTGTGGCTCGATATATTGGCGGGTTGAAGTACAGTATTCAGGACAAGTTGGAATTAAATTCTGTATGGTCCTTATCCCAGGCGATCAACTTTGTTTTGAACGCTGAAATGCAGATGAGTACATCGTCCCGTCCTCATTATACCCGCCGGCAGATGACCGATTCTCTACCAGATTCTGGAAAGAACAGCCCTGGCCAAGGCAAATCTGTGGGTGTGGCTCCATCCCATTCGCAACCTAACAATTCCCCAAAACCTGCGGGTTTGACACCGGAGAAAGGGTCTCAGTCTAAGTCCAAGGCGGCCTCTGGTAGTAATCCTTATGCTAAACCGGCAACAGTGAAGTGCTTTCGTTGTTTCCAACCCGGGCATAAATCAAATGAATGACCACAGCGTCAACAACTCCAACTGTTAGACAATGAGCAGTCCGAGTCCTTCGATCAGCTGGATGACAACAAAGATGAAAATGTTGAAGACGTCGAAGGAGATGATGGTGAGCCCGTGCTATGTGTCATAGAGAAGTTGCTGAATGCACCCCGCCAAAGTAATGCCTCTCAACGAAATGCTATCTTCAAGACTAGGTGCACTATAAGTGGAAAAGTTTGTGACCTGCTCGTAGATAGTGGATGTACTGAGAACATAATAGCCCGCTCCGTAGTTCAAGCTCTTCAGTTAAAGACCACAAAGAACCCACAGCCTTACAAGATCAGCTGGGTAAAGAAGGGTGTGGACATTCAGGTGACAGATATGTGTCAAGTAACATTCTCCATCGGTCACCAGTATGTCTGTGACATTCTCTGCGATGTCTTGGAGATGGATGTATGCCATTTAATTCTTGGACGACCCTGGCAATTCGATGCCGGCGTCGTGTATGATGGGAGAGCCAACGTCTACACCTTAGATTGGAAGGGCAAAAGACTTCGACTCTTGCCGAGAGTCAGTGAAGACAAAGCGCAAGGGCCAAACACCTCTACATCCTCTGTTATGCAGATTGTATCCGGCTCAAACTCGCTCCTTATGAGGGAAAACAGAGATCCTGTGTGGGCCTTAGTGATCACAGATTCGCGCACTTCACTACCACCAACAGCACCGGCAGAGATTCGTAACCTGCTCTCTGAGTTCAAAGACATTTGTCCTGATGAGCTCCCTGCTACACTGTCGCCCTTAAGATCCATCCAACATCAAAATGACTTGCTGCCGAACGCAACATTACCGAATTTGCCTCATTACAGGCTTAACCCCACGGAGCAAGAGGTTTTACAGTCAATTGTAGAAGATCTTCTACGCAAACAGTTAATTCAAACTAGCATCAGTCCTTGCGTCGTACCTGCCCTACTGATGCCGAAGAAGAACAAAGAGTGGCGCCTCTGTGTAGCAGTCGGGCCATTAATAAAATCACGGTGAAATACCGTTTTCCGGTGCCTAGAATTGAGGAGTTAATTGATAAGCTAAGTGGTGCATCCATATTTTCCAAGTTGGATTTGAGAAGCGGGTACCACCAGATCAGGATTCGTCCTGGCGACGAATGGAAGACGGCCTTCAAGACCCCCTTCGGCCTATATGAATGGCGAGTTATGCCTTTCGGCTTATGTAACGCACCGTCGACTTTCATGAGGATGATACAAGACATTCTCAAACATGTTTGGGGGCAGTTTTGCATAGCGTATTTCGATGACATTCTGGTTTACAGTGCCAACCGAGAGCAACACAGTGGCCACCTGAGACAAATTTTTGTCATCTTACAAGAGAACAAATTGTTCCTTAATTTGCAAAAGTGCGAGTTCGCCACTTCTCAAGTCCAATTTCTGGGATTCCTAGTCTCTGAGCAAGGCCTGTCTATGCACGTTGACAAGATTGCTGCCATTATAAATTGGCCCACGCCAACGTCCTTCTTTGACATCCGAAGTTTTCACGGCCTAGCCAATTTCTACAGAAAATTTATCAAAGGTTTCAGCTCAATCATGAGCCCAATCACGGATTGCTTAAAATCCAAAACCTTTGCTTGGGGTCCTCCGCAACAGCAAAGTTTCACGTCCATCAAGCAGGCCCTAACCTCGGCCCCAGTGCTCGCCTTACCTTGTTTTGAGAAGCTCTTTACGGTTGAGACCGATGCGTCGGCCACGGGCATCGGTGCCGTTTTATCTCAAGACGGACGCCCGATTGCGTACTTTAGTGAGAAACTTTGTCCCGCTCGTCAGAAATGGTCGGCTTATGAACAGGACCTGTACGCATTCATCCGTGCTCTGAAGCAATGGGAGCACTATCTCCTTCATCAAGAGTTCGTAATTTGCACCGACAACCACGCCCTCCAGTTCATCAATAACCAGAAACACATCAATAGGATGCATGCCCGTTGGGTCTCATTCATGCAGAAATTTTCGTTTGTACTCAAACATCAGTCCGGCCGAAACAACAAAGTTGCTGATGCCCTTAGCCGCAAAACAATGTTGTTAACTCAACTACAAACTGAATTCACTGGATTAGTTTGCCTGCAGGAATTGTATGCCACAGATCCAGACTTTTCTGCCGTGTGGAATAAATGTATCCAGCAGGAAACCGTGCCAGAATACTCGATCCGCCACGACTTCCTTTTCCACAACAATTTACTGTGTGTTCCCATTTCCTCTTGGAGACAACATCTAGTGCAGGAAGCCCATTGTGGCACACTTGCGGCTCACGCTAGGCGTGACAAATCCTTGGCTCAGTTAAAGAGCCGTTTCTATTGGCCGCGTCTCCGCAGAGATGTCTTCCGCTTTGTTGAGCGTTGCCCGGTATGCCAGAGCTACAAGAGAGGAGCCCAAAACACGGGTCTCTACCTACCGCTGCCAACCCCTGATTCCATCTGGGAAGACCTCAGTCTAGACTTTGTTCTTGGATTGCCACGGACCAGCAAAGGAAACGATTCGATAATGGTTGTTGTCGACCGTTTCTCAAAAATGGCGCATTTTCTTTCATGTAAGAAAACGTCAATTGCTCTTCAAGTCGCTCATTTGTTCTTTCACCAAGTGGTCCGCCTACATGGAGTTCCTAGAAGCCTGACATCCGATCGAGATGTCAAATTCATAAGTCACTTCTGGCGAGAGTTATGGAAACGCTTGGGAACTGATCTGAGGCTTAGCTCCGCTTATCATCCTCAGTCCGATGGGCAGACTGAGGTAGTTAATCGGACTCTTGGAAGTATGCTTCGCTGTCTCGTGCAAGACCACCCGAAGCAGTGGGAAGACATGCTGAGCACGGCGGAATTTGCTTATATAAACCATATTTTAGAAATTTATAATATCATCTTAAAGCACTTTTGAGTAAAAATGAAATCAACACATTTAAGAGATTTCAAAGGTATTTGTATAGTTGAAAATCAATATTAATTTCTAATTACATCCAACTAAATGATGAAATCTAATTAATTCAGCATTTATAACAAATATGAATTCTAATTTCAAGCAACCAAATGGAACCTAAGCTAACGACCTCGAAGACTAATAGACACTCTGATGCGGCACCAGTTATCCTATCAGCTATAGGAGGCTCATTTTACCACTGTTTGATGCCTCCACTACTTTAGTTTCCTTTTTCGTTTCTAGTATACTTTTCCTTGTTTCTCTTCTGCTACCTTACTTTTAGCAAAAAGGTTAGTTTTAGCTTCTGGAAGGAAATGATATATAGGAAATACTGTAGAGGATGCGGCAGTTTTGGCATTTTCACAACCTTGACAAAGTTCAAGCTGAATATACAGGCCGTTGAAGCCTTCTTCTTCCTCTATCCCTTGTCTCGTCTTGGTTTTTGTTTGTTGTTATCTCTTTTGCAGGTCCTGGAGTACATCACACTCAAGACTATACTAAAACACTAGCATGTTTCGTTGAGGCTTAGGATAAGCTGTGTGAACCAGCTAAGCAAAAACTTGTAGGCTTAAGCCTTAAGCGGACTTTAGCCGTTTGGTTGGTCAAAAGATTAAATAACATAAGCTTAGAATTTGTCTGGAGAAGATGAAACGCGTATGCAAGATTAGGAATAAATTGTGTTAGATAGTTCACAAGTTAGTTTCTCAATGAGTGGATTAGTTAGAATGATTAGCACTTAATTAGATTAATTAATGATTGCACTACCAAAAAAAAAGATTGCATGAACCACTCCTAACAGCAGCATCAACGACAATTGTGATCGCATGCACGATAGTGACTATAATATCAACGACGTCTATATCATTAATGGGAAACAAGAAAATGGCGGTGGTAGAAATTGGAACTATAAATGGAAAACTAAGACACGCTCGGAGATTGACAGTGTTGTTATCATGGGGAGCAACCTGGAGAAGGTGAAGGTTCATTCCAAAGCGAGGATGAAGAACAAGCTAAAAAAAGCTTAAGCCGCCCCAAAAGGGGGACATAAGTTAATTAGGCTTATGCTTTTTATACTTAGGAAACTGACACAAAAGCTCTTTGTCTTAGGGTGAGTTAAGCCCCAACCAAACAGCCCAAACGAAGGAGGAAGATAAATCTCACCTTCACGAATACAGGACCAATTTCAAAGTTTTAGAGCTTTCTCAAATTAAAGTTTTACCATAATGTGTGTCGCCATTTCAATTAGAAAAGTTTTAGATTTTTGCAATAATTTATAAGCGAGAAACTTCACGAAGAGGGAAAAAAAAAAAAAAACTTTTAGCATTCTTATCACTGAAGTGCAATCTTCTGTTTCCAGCCCAATACAAAAAACCACCAATTAGACAATGCCCGAAAAAAGGAGGCGGGATCTTGATCTTTATCCTAATCACTTACCTGCACTGCCTCAATGGAATCGGAATCAGCATCCTTGACGGACCACTTCGAAGCACTCCATGCCGAGCCATCTCGCGAAACACCGTTAAGAACCAAACCCTAACCGCCCTTCAGCGACGAATCCCCATCCCTAATCGTGTAAAGCACCTCCTCAAACTCATCGTCCTTCCAATAAACTTTAGCCTGTAAGAAGTAACGATTCCGTCGGCGATTTGAAGCCTTAGAGAGCTCCTGTTCCTAACACTGAGCTCAACCGTCGGAACATCGCCGGAATCGGAGAACTTGATGCCCTTTCTTCCGAATCTTTTCTCCAGGGATTGGGGAGGAGACTGGACAGTGGTAGCGGAGGAGGCTCGAAGAAGATGGGGTTTGGGAAGGTGGAGAGAGAAGAGGGAATGGGAAGCCATGAAAGGTAACGAAGTGGCGGGAGAGTTCAAGCATCCGTGGCTTCATGTTCGGGGATTTTTGGACATGGGTAGTTTTTCTCTGTCCACAGATTTTCTTTCATTAATATATTATTTTTACGAGTTATTTACATATACTAGTTTTATTATCCGTGCATAAAATTTACTTTGCTAGAATTTAATAAATATATATTATAATTAAGAAGATCAAATATATGTATGAAAAAAATTAATAAAATTTGTGTTTGCCTAATTAATAGTGACATTAAATGCATGCGAATAAATTTTTAAAAATAAAAATTTATGTTATGAAAATTTTAATTATATTTTTTATTAAAAAATAAAGTAATTAATTTTATCCCTTTAAACAATTCTAATTATTAATTATACTGATGAAACTTTATATGTTTTTCTTAAAATTATCATATAGAAAATATATTAATATAATTTTATAATTCAATACAAAATACAAATTTTTTCTCTCTAGAATTAACATCATAAAAATAATTCATTCATATTTAGAATAATAAAAATTAAAATTCACATGAGCATTAGATACACGTGCATTAAATGAACATGAATAAAAATTTTAAGTATATATTTTTAACTTTGTGCAGAAGAAATGATGAGTAAATATTTTTAAAAAGATAATATAGATTTATGGGTTACTTAAATTTTCTTAACTTTGATCAAAATAGTGGATAAAAAAAATCTTCTTCCATTTCTCCAAAATAGATCATTTTTTTCAAAGTACAAAAAAATCTACAACAAATTTGAAGCCAAAATGGTGTCGAGATTCACAGGTTCGCTGAAGTAGAGATCCAGAAACGAAAGAGCTAAAAGAAAAACATGTGAGAATAATATATATGGGAGAAAGAGAACATGCGATAGTTATCTTACAGCCACCGAACGGTCGTAGGTTGGAACGTTTCGACGGTTGAATTCATCTTCATGCGTCCAAATTAATTGGAGAAGGAATCCTGAAACGTTTAAGAAGTTGAAAACACGAAATGAAGAAGCGGGTGATTAAATGTCGGGAGTTACTAACATTTAATATTTTGAGGCCACGAAACCTACCGGAGGAGATGACGGCGAGCGGAGGCATGAAGAGGTTGAAGAATTTCAGAAGACTGATTTAATTAGAGGGAAACCTACCTGACGACGAGTGGAATCAGTTAGGCAAGCCGAAGAATATGGAGACGGGGCGAAGACGAAGCATCGCGATATTTGGGTAGGTTTACACTTGCAGAGGAAAAAGTTAATATATTCATAAAAAACGTTAATATTTACACTTGCACAGGAAAAAGTTAATATATTCATAAAAACTCGCAGAATTAATATAATAAATAAAGTAGCAAAAGTGGAGAATAGGAATAGAGAAACGTAAATGTGTAGAATTAATATAATAAATCTATACTACTATATAAAAGTGGCTTGGGACTTCACCCATAACAAATCTTGGCCATTCATTTTATATCTTCAAAAATTATCCTAGCCATTCACTCTACTTCTCATTTTTAAAACTGCTTTTCAAATAATTAATTAAGCATTTATACTACTATTATTATCATAAAGATGTATTAATTATTTGCCACCATAATAGAAATAGAAAAATGGAAGTTAGGAATCTGAAGGGGCGGTAAAATTAAATGAGTTTTATATAATGTGAATTTTTTTATTTAATAAATATTTTTAATAGAATGGACGGTCAAGATAATTAAAAAATAAGTAGAATGTATGAACAAGATTTGCCGGAGGAAGGAAACTCAAGCCCCTTTTATAATAGTAGTATAGATATCAATTTATATTATATTATTTACCTATTTAATATCTAAAATTTTAATATTACATATCTATCACCTATAAATAACTTTAATATCAAATATATCACTTCTATATTTCATAACTACCACTCATATCATCCTATAAAGTTTAACACTACATTCCTTGTCTGATATTTACTCTATGAGTGACAGGCATGTAATACTATAGTTTTAGATATTAGATATGTAAAAAGTATGATATAAAGTAATTTTTATTTGTTTATTGCATTAATCTCTTCTTGAAGAAATATTTAATATTAAATAGCATGATGTAATTTGCAAATTCTAAAAAACTAGAGAGATTGTTTTAAGAATTTGAATCTCTACTAAAAAATTAAAGACTAAATTATTATTAAATCCCAATAAGGTGAGGCTAACGACATTGAGAGTGATCAAGCTCAAATCAAGCATCTGAAGTGTGGTAAGAAAATTTAAAATATTATTCAGAGTTGCAAACATTTTGTGAATCTTGCTTGTTTATATCCAAATAAATATCTCGTCAAGAGAAATCCGAAAAGTCCAAGATACCTCAACTTTGATATTATTAATATTTATTGAAAGATTAGTCTATGATCAAGGGAGTCAACACAAGCATTATGATATAGTATTTTGGAGTCTTTAATTAAAATTATCAAAATACTTCTCTAAAAAATTATACATATGCCATCATTATCTATATGAAAGTGGACTTGAGCATTATACTTGAGATTGGAGAAAATATGAATGTTTGGAGAGCAATACTTGGCATCTGGCACTGACAATCACCACCAGCATTCAATGTCACTCAAATGTTGTCATTGCCCTACCATCATTGCTCAACGATTGTCTTCCAACTATCACTGTTTAACTGGCACCAATCAATCACAATTGATGGATACATCACTCAATTATTGTCATTAGCATGACTTATTTCTCGAACAATCTCCATTAGAATCACAAGAGATCAAGCTTTGGTTTCCAACTTTGTAATTCCTTATTCTCTAATTTATTTAAGAGAAGATCAAACTCATGTAATCATACTTGTATAGTAGATCATTTTAACTAGGTCATGTCCTGTGATTTTTATTCACCTTTTAAAATTTTCACAAAAAATTTTAGTGAAATTATTTTTTTTATCTATAAAAGTGCACAATTCATGTGCAAAACTATAAAAATAATTAAACTCTTAACTCTACCATATGAATATGCTAGCAAGAAACAATGATAAATATGTTATTATAGACTATACACATTCCTTGAGAGGTCTATCATTTATAGTATTCGAAATCCCAAAAGATAAATTAAAAATTTACTAATTATTGGAGTTGATATAATGCCAATAATCATCGATTAAGAGCATCCTGAATTAATTTCTCTTACAACATTAATCATATTTATTGCATGCAAGAATATTCACAATAAAAACAAAGTATAATTTTTGAATTATGCAATAATCTCTCATAAATAAAAATTAAGATAAGTTGAAAGCAGTTTATAGAAAATACATGAAGGGAAAAAAAAGTTGTAGGGTTTGACCCAATTGAAATAATTCAACTAGTATGACTTATAATTTATAAAACCCTTCTCATGCAGAGGATCAGTGGAAGAAATAAAGTTGTTAGAAGGAACACCAAATAGGAAACCAACACAAGCTTAAAGGCTTCCAAATATCATAATATTCATCATCCCCTCTTCTTCTTACAGCATTGTATATATAAACTAGCAAGAATATTCTAGAAAGCATGTAAAAGACTAGATAAATTATTCCTATGAAAAACTTTAGCTAATATGTTCCACATCATATTTAGCAATCAAAGAAGCCTTTGGCATAATATTTTAGGCTTGAATTCTCAAAGAATACTTTCATGAAGGAAGTAAGAGAAGTCTTGAAGTGTTGGTATCCTCATCAAAAGACTACTTGTGATATCCTATTATTTTCTTCTTATAGGAGTGGAGATTTTCAACAAAGAAGGATAGCATTGTCCATTATAAAATACATTGAGCATTACCACAGGTGTCGATGACAATCATCTGGTTTGTTGGCAATAACGATCGTTAGCATTGATATCAATGGCGTGTCTTCTCTATTAATGATGGAATGCGTCTGCCTTGTTGGCGGTGACAAGCATTCACTTTATTAGTGATGGAAAACGTTGGTGAGGGTTACCCTATTAATAATAACAAACTTGCATTGGTCTTTGTGGCAATGATAAATGTCGAATGTTGTTAGAAAGAGCACTAGGAGCGCTTCTTCTAGCCACATCTCAATCTACCCAATTGCTTTATTAAGATTGATCAAAAAGTTTTATATGAGAAATGAGAAGTGAAACACTCTTTAAATAGATTTATTGATTTTATATGTTGAGTTGTGTTGACTTGAAAATCTTCCCAAATCTATATCATCATTATTTGGAAAGAATTTATTGGCTGATTTGCATTATATAGGAGCCCTGATTGCTCTATATATATGTTTCAAATCTATTTTAAAGGGCTTAACAGTTGTTGTGTGAGAGGGAGAGAGCCAATTGTAACTTATTTTCTCCACATTATAGTTAAACCATCCCCTCCTCATATACGTAGATATTTTTCCTGAACCATGCAAATTGTCGTGTTTTTTTGTGTTGATTGTGCTATGATTTATGATTGTTTCCACCATATTTGCACAACATTTAGATGAATTTTTAAGATAGGAATGTTATAGGCCAGTCGACTTAACTTGAGTTGAGTCATTCCTGAGTTTATGAAAATACCTTCAACGATTTTGATGAGCGATAGATTGGCTCGTCTATTTTGAGGAGACAAGAATTATATTTTTTTGTATTTTTCTAGACTTTATTGAAATATGATAAATATTAATGATGCATTTTATATGAGTATTGTTATGCTCCAAAAAAAAATCTACATAAAAAAATAAATTTGGAGTTCAGTTTCATTGTATGGCTCAATAAAAATAAGAGAGTAAATTAAAGCATCTGCATGAGCTATCTAAATAAAGTGAACCCCAATTGATGCCCAATATAGAGTTATTATGAATATTTTTATTATAAAAATTATAAAATAATGAACTAGTTTAATCCATTCTAATTAATTCACAATTATTTTACAATAATTTAAATACTCTTAAAAAATTAAAATAGGCATCGACGTTTCGCTGACGATAAGATTCGACATTTATTGAATAATCTATTAAAATCTTATCTTTCATAAAATATTTTCAAATAACCTTGGCGTGACATTCCAACTTGTGACCATTTAATGCTCAGCAGAATATTAAA